GACTGGGAGACATGAACTCCTCACCATGTTCAAGGTTGCAGGAAGTCTTGTGTTGCTACTGTGAGGAGTTCTAGGGACATCTTGTGAGGAGTCATAGAAAGGAGGCAGGGAGAGACTTGGGAAGGGCCTCGAATGCCAGTTTTGAAGTATGAGCTTTGACTCCTAGGTTACTGGGGACCCTCAAAGATGTGTTCCAAAAGGATGAGGGTAGGGGAAACACACTTTGCAAAGACCTGTCACATTATAGGTGGTTGGATACAGGGGAACAGGTGAGCTCTGCAGGGAGTATGAGGTGGACTGAGTCAGGAAAAGTGTGCTGTCTGCAGAACTGTAAGCACGAGGAATCACTATGAATGACTTGTGCTGTTGTGTCCTGTTACAGAATTTGGGACCATCAGGCAAGGAAGGAAATCGGCAGTAGTTGGTAGGACACTGGGTGGTCCTATTTGATATCTTCCTTATTGCATTGGCTCCATACAGAAAGCATCACACATACTGAGATTTGTTTAAGTGCCCCCATCCCTGAACCCGGATCACATGATGATAGGCATACGTGGAAACTGATGACCCGGGAAAGGAAAAGCTCTGTAGAGCACTAAAGATTTCACCTTATTGGTGAGGGCATGAGAACCCCCAACAGGAAGGTGTAGTAAGTTGACCTGTGTGGTTGCCACCACACCAACACACACATACACACACACACACACACACACACACACACACACACACACACACACACACACGCCGTCTCTTATTTGTTTGTTTTTGACAAGGGCTGGCTGTGCAGTCAGAGCTCAGCTCTACCTTGTGATTCTCTTGCCTCAGCCTCTTCAGTGCTAAGATTACAGATGTGACACCATGCCCAGCTCTAACACACACACACACACACACACACACACACACACACACACACACACACATACACACACACACACACACACAAACAGAGAGAGAGAGAGAGAGAGAGAGAGAGAGAGAGAGAGAGAGAGAGAGGGAACTTTCGAGAGCTCTCATAATTGCTGGAATCTCAGCAGAGACATCCATCCCCAAGCACTTGTTGGGAAGTTTCCTCTGGGGCAGGAAGCCTCTCACAGGGTACATATTCAATGTAACCCCCTGTTGTCCTGGACACCCCCGGGGAAGAGGACCAAGGATCTGTGGGTGCTGCTAGAACTAATAACACCAACCACCCAAGGAGCCTGAGGCTGTAAGTCTTCAATTTACAGATGCCAGCCTGTGGACTCTTCCCCTCCTCCAATGCCCTGTTATGCAGGAAGAACTTGTTTTGAAGGTGGCTAGGAGGAGGTGCTTCCTGAGAGATGTAGATCTTAGTACCTTGAACCACATAAGACAGAATGCGTAGAGGCTTCCCCAGGCAGGAAGCTTCCCTGCCAAGACACCTCACTCTCACCCCAAATGCCTGCCAGCTGGCTGTCTAACCCCATCAGTCATGCAGAAGAGCCACTGCCATAAGACAACCCTCTGAGAATGTCACTGTTCACCTTGTGGTGCTTAAGTGTGGTTGGAGAATATTTAAATATTGGATATGAGGGAGACTAACATGCATATCGTGTTAGGTGTGACCAGAATATCATAGTTATATAGGAAAATGGTCTTTGCTTTTAGAGATGCATTTGGATCCAGGGTTTCAATATTCCCCTAATTGACTTTAAATGTACTTTAGCCAAAATAAACAAGTGATGTAAAAATTAAACATTGAAGTTACCCAATGTCAAACCTAGGGAATCTGTATGTTCATTATACTATCCTTTTACAAAGATTTTTACATTTTTTATGTGTATGTGTGTCTGTATCTTAGCATATGTGTCTTCATCACATACTTGCAGGTGCCCAAGGAGGCCACAAGAGGGTATTGGATGCCATGGAACTGGAGTTACGTGTGGTTGTTGAGGGTACCAACATGGGTCCTCTGCAAAGCAGTATGCTGCTCTTAGCCACTGAGCCATTCCTCCAGTCCCTATTATGCTATTCTCGTTTACTTATTTATTGGAGACAAGTTCTCACGGAGGAGCCCAGGCTGGTCTTGAACTCAGCCCTCCTGCCTCAGCCTCTTGAGTGCTGGAATTACAGACATGAGCCACTACTCAAAGCTTTAACATAATATTCTTTCTATTTGTTTATGTTTGAGACATTTTACAGTAAAAGGAAAAAAACCTATTCATGTAATGGAGAGATTAAGCTCTTTTCTTCAGAAGCACTGCTGAGAAGCAGGAGAGAATTTCTATATTTTGTGGCTCTCCTGCGTACAATGCTGGGAATCCAAATGGGAGGGCAAAGTCTGAGAGGCTGAGAAAAGGCCAAGGCTCACTTTAGTCCCCAGCCTCCAACCCTCACCTGTGAACCAAGCAGCCACAGTGAAGGGGTTGGTAATGGCAGGAGGGTGGCCGGGTAGAGGCCCTGTGCCGGCGTAGTTACACACATCGGATTGCCGTCAAGGCTTCCCTCACTGTGAGATGTCCTGCCAACTACTGCCCAGCCTCCTCTAAGGAGGCTTTGTCACTTCCTGAAGAAACCTCATGAGGATACCTCACCCACTCCATGGATCTTGCTTGCCCTGGCTGGACAAAGGTCCAAGCTTGGGGACCAAGGAGCAGGGATGACCTGTCACATGGGCCACACAACATCTTCACTACCTTTTCTTCCTTCAGAGTTCACACAGGTCCTGTCTGGACACCTGTACCTGTCTCACTTGGACATGGGGTTCAGAGAATATCAGGCCCCAGCTAGAAAGTGGGGCTAGTAGCTCCAGCCCCGCCTAGCCTTCTCAGTTCTCCTTCACACTGGGCCAAGGGTTCCTTTGTCCCTTCAGAGATGAGGAAATCAGGTCCTTCTATGGAGATTAAAGATGTTTCCCAAGCCAACTAGACATGGCTGTGAGGGTAAGGCAGGGTCTAAGGCTCTTGTCCTAAGCTGTGACCCCCATGCAAGCTACAGAAGCCTCAGAAGAGGTTAGGTCTCCAGACTGTAGGGTGGGGAAGCATAAACCTCTAGAGAGTTCTGTCTTTCAGCGTGGCCCTGGGAGTCCTGAGCAAGCATAACTGAGGTTGTCTCTCTATTCCAGAAGGTAGCCTGGCCCAGTAGCCACCATATTTCCTAAAGTTCACAGTATGGTCTGCTGAGGCCAGAGACCTGGGCAGTAGTGGGAAGACCCTAGAAAGGCTGACTGTAGTGGCCAGGAAGGCCTCCTCTGGTGAGGCGTGACCTTCAGGAGCAGGTGGCTTCCACCTGTCTGGGGAACACTCAGAGGAGCTGGCCTTGCCTTTCATCCAAGCCATCTCAGTTCTAATGGGAACCGGGCACTGGGGTTCTCTCTGCCTCTGGGGCTAGGCTAGTAAAGGCTGTTTTCACAGTTTGCAGTTGAAGTTGGCCAATGGAGCCAAATTTAAAGGCATTGCCCTGCTTCTTCCAAGGAGGTCTCCCTGTTTGTCTGTCACAGCAACCCTGTCCCTCAGTCCTAAGAGGCTGTTCCCCACATCCATTCAAAGTCGCTGGTTGTGCCGTGCTCCTACAGTGGAGACTCTTGCAAAGTAAGGCCTCAGATTGTCTCCAGTCTGAGTGTTCCCACTAGCCTGGCACTGGGCATCTGTCTGCTGCCCAGGGGGCAGGAGCTATGGAAGGCCTTGGGACATACTTCACTTCCTCCTCTGGGACATTGGAGGTTTTCTTTCCTTTCTTTTTTTTTTTTGGCTTCCCCGTTCAAAGATTTCCCTTCCCAGGCCAAGGCAGGGCCCCATAAACAGAGTGATAAGGCTCTGTGCCTTCAATGTGAACTCTGCAGCTGCCATTTTATGGCTCTGATAACGTGTCCCCCCCACAAGTCCGGCTGGAGCAGGAACACTGGGTGTCCATTCCAGGAGAGAGCAAGTAAGGACAGCAAGGCAGGAACTGGGACCCTTCTCCATGCCAGGCTAAGTCCCTTCCCCTCGTTTTGTGGGCCAGGCCACAAGAGGACCGTGAGTCTAACTCCACAGGAGGAGCAGAACAGCTGAGGCAGGGAGGCTGGTAGAACTGAAGGATGGGCAGAGTGGGAGATCAGAAGCAATCAGGAGGAGCCAGAGTTGGGAAGATGGGAAGAAAGGTATTGGAGGGGCCAGGCTCAGGCTATGTCTAGATGGAGGGCACCTGGAGACCTCCAGTGGTCCAAAGAGTCCTGGCTTATCCAAAATAAATCAGAGTAGCTGGGACCCAGAGTTGGGAGCACTGGAGAGTTGCTGGTGTGTGGCCGGAAGAATGTGACACTGAGGGCCACTGTGAGTCACACTGTAAGTCCGACGGAGCCTGGAGTGTGAGGAGGTGGGACTGTGAAGTAGAGGGAGGGGCAACACCTGTCAATTCTCAGAGGGCTGCTCCTTCACCAGGGCATGAGCTTTTCCAGGTTAGGGCGTGCCAGACACCAGCCAGGTGGGAACAGATTCATGTTCTGATGGAGGCCATGGTAGGGGAGGTAACCATGGGACAGAACCCCCTAGGTGACGAAGATTCCCCACCCTCCTCCAGGCAGCCTGCTGTTTCCAGACCAGAATCCACTTGGGAAAAGACTATCTTGAAGCAACAGCCCCACAGGCGGGAAGCAAAGGGAGGAAGACAATAACCTCTATCCAAGTGCGTCTGACAAGGACAGGTGTGGCTCCTGTGGCCTCATTTTGCCCTTCTGTAAAATGGGCAGACTGAGTCTTGAGGTCTTCCTTACTCTCAGAGGAGGTGACCCAGCATCTGGCCCATGGTCCTGGTGAGCCATCCACAGCCACAGGATCACACCCACACACATCGGTGTGGTGAGGAAGCAGAAGTCGAAGGCAGAGCAAGGTCCCCTGCTTTTCCCAGCACACCTGTCCCTGCCACCAACTCTGACCTTTCTCTGCTCACCACCATCCTATAGTTAGAGGAGATAGAGCACAGGAAGGCGAGTCCTGTACCCATAAGCTCCCAAGGACCCCTTTCCAGGCCATAAGTATAAACGCTGCATCTGCTGCTGGCCGGTCTTCATCCCACAAGTTCACAAAATGCCTAGAGACGCTTTCAGAACCCCATAGTCTCCTTCCCACCTCACAGTCTACCAAACCTCCCATCTCACCTGATCCTGCTACCCACGGCTCTCCTCCCCCATGCACCCCCACAGGCACTCCTCGAAAAGCAAGTCTGGGGCTCCCTCTCGCCCTCAATCTCTCCACTGCTGCCTGGGATCGCCTCGAGGTGAGCGCTCTAGCTGCGTTAGGAGGGCACCGGTGCCATCGAGCTCCCACGCCTCTGGGCTAGATACGGCCCCCGGTGGAGAGAGACGATGAGAACCGCCCTCCCGCTGCCCCCCGATGGCCGGATGGCCCCAGATCCACCGCCCCCGCAGCTCCCTCTTCCCGGGGATCTGGGTGGAGGGGCGCATACTCACCGCTGGTCCGAGGGCACAGGCGAAGGCTCCTGCCAGCACGCAGAGCCAGCGGGCAGGCGGTGCGCTCGAAGGGCGCATGGTCCGCCCTGAGCCCGCCGCAGGCGGCCGGGGCAGCTGCGGGGTCTGGGGCGGGTGCAGCGCGGCAGAGTGGCGCGGGCCGGCGGCCCCGGCGCTAAGAGGAGCAGCTCAGGGCCCCGGGAAGGACGGCGGGGGCTCGTCTGACGGGCGGCGGGGATACCCAATGGCGCGGCGGGGGCGGGGCCTCGGCGCAGGTAGGGGGCGGAGCCTGGGCGCCCCGGGGCGTGAGCGCGGAGTCCCGCTAGTGGTGTGCGTCGTCGGGAGCTGCAGCTAGCGAGCCTCGTCCTAGCGGCTCCGTTGCGGGACTCCGCCCAGCGTTCCCCGCGCCTGCACCTTCTCTCCCAGCCCAGGCCGCGCCCTCGGTCCCCGGCAGCGTGCTCCTACGGTCGTCGGCTCCAGGGGGTGGGGGTGGAGGGGAGCGGTCGCCTCCCTGGTTCCCACGCCGGCGCGCGGCCCAGATTCCTGGACGAGAAAGACCGCAGCTTTCCAGGGCTTCAGGCTGGGTTCCAACGGGGTCCGGTGGATCACGCTGCTGCAGCGGTCTGTGACAAGGGACAAGCCGAGGGGAGCTCAGCCGGAGTCGGGGAGCCCTGACTCGGGGTTCCTCCAGGCCGCTCTAGGGCCAGGCAGGGCGTCGTGGCCCTTCACAGGATGCACTCAGACGGTGGACTCGTCTCGGCCCGCGCAGATCGCGAGGGACGCGAAGTCAACGTTCCAGCGCCCCGGCGTGGGGGACAGAAGCTTGTACCTGTTCGCGGGCCCAGACTGCCCACAGACCCTTCCTCCCGGAGTCTGAGGTCCCCAGGAACTAGGACCAGGGTGCCGATGTCCCGCGCCGAATCTCCAAGATCGCGCAGGCCGGCAGCGGGTGATGTGAAGCTGCGCTCCCTCCTACGCTTGTCTTTAGGACCCGGTTATTCGGTGCTAGCGTGGAGCGCGGGGTCACCGTCTCTGAGCTCCCTGCGCGCGGCTTATGAGGGAACCAGATGGCTGCCTGGTCTCCTTGCCGAGAGCTCGGGTGGTCACAGTGAGAAGGTGTTGTGGGGGGCTGATGGTGCGAGGGGATAGAAGGAGGGAGGAGGGGCGGAGTTGGGTGCACAGACGGAGAGAGCCGCGTGTCCCTGCGCGCGAAGTGGGGTGTGCACTCCGCTCGAAGGAGGTCCGTCTCCAGGCGCTTTCTGGCCAGCAGGGGCGCGGGAATGTCCGGAGGACGCTCTGGCCTTCCCAACCTGCAACGTGGGAAACTAGGGCTGTGGGCGTGGCCTTGAGGTCGGTTACAGAAAGGTCTGGAAGCGACCCCTGGCCTTCCTCCGTTTCTTCAGGCTGGGTGGAGCTTTCCACCCTCCCTCCTTCCCCTCCTCCTCTACATCAGTCCACCGCACCTCCCTTGCTCTCTCCCCCTACTTTATTAGTCTGTGATTCCGAGCCAGGCCTCTTTTACACACCAGGGCTTAGAGGTAAGAGGACACAGCAGGCGCTTTCTGCAGTTTCTGCTTCCTTATAGAGAACGGGCTAGCTGGACACAGGCCTTCCTCCAGATGCCGGGATGTCAAAAGGAGCGAGCTATTCAGTAGTTGCCTTCCAACGCTTCAGCATGGGCACTGTGAGCTCAGGAATCAGGGGTTTACCTCTCTTTGTGGCCCTCGGTACCCTCCTCTCAGGTACCTTAGGCCCCTCATGGGGCAGCAGGGTCTTACCAGCTCTTGAGGTGGTGTCCTCAAATCCTAGATATGAATGTTAAACCTGTGGGCTTTGGCTCTCACCCCTGCCCGCCCCCACATGTCACCGATGCAGTTGCAGAATGCTGACGTCCCATCAGAAAATGGGGCATGGTGGCAGATGCCTGTGATCCCAGCTCTCGGGAGGACTGCAGTGGATTTCAGGCCAGTCTGGGGTGCAGTACTTCACATTATGGGCCTGTTAGCATTTTCTTGCTCTCTGTGGACAGGATCTTGAGGAGGCTTTAGGGTGCATGGAGGGGAGTGGGGACTGGAGGGTGGGAGGGAGCCAGACCCCTGTGACCCTCACCAGGTAGTTGAGGCAAGTGGGTGAAAGGGAGAGGCACCAGTGATGATGGCTGCCCTGCCCACACTGACGCCTCTTAGGCTGGAGGTTGGAGGGCTGGTGCCAGGCTGCAGCTGACAGGGCAGGCGGGATCCTGTCTGGTGTCTTCCCAGCCCACCCCTGGAAGAGGAAGGTGGCTCGGGGATAGTTTTCCTTCCAGTTCTCTGCCGTGAAAGGCACTCTTGGTTCTTTCTGGATTGTCCCCTGGGGGATCCATCCTTCATTACCATTGAAGGACACAGACACATTCAGAAGTAAAAGGAGCAGGAAAGCAGCAAACAGGCCTTTAACACTCAACTTAGGCTACACCCACCACGTGCCAACGTCCCGTGTCCTGAGACATTGGAGCAGCAAAACAGCAAACAGGCCTTTAACACTCTACTTAGGCTACACCAACCACGTGCCAAACCCTGACTCTCAAACCCTGTGTCCTGAGACATTGGGAAGTCAAGCATGGGCTTACCCTTGGGGAGCCCTGTGGAATCTGAGGAGGGCACCTGCTGTTTACCTAGGCCATAGGAAAGGCTTCACGGGAAAGGGAAGTCAGAGGCAGAGGTGTAGGCACATGGGCTTCCTGAGGCTGAGGGAGCAGGCACTTGTGGTGGTGGGTGTAGTTACCTTCCTTCCCCACATGTCCTGAGAAGGAGTCCCTGCATGGATGTCTTTGCTTCACTAATCTACTTTGGAACAGTTGCACAAGAGCCTGGACCATGGTCTGTTCCCGCTCCTGAAGCTCTTCTTGCTAGGCAGATCTGTTTTGGAGCCCTGAGACCTGTTCCCAGAGTTTGGCTCAGCCCCTCACCTCCCTTCTAGTTGCCAGAATCACAGGGGTGCAGCAGATTCAGGGGGTGGGGGAGAAGGGAGACAGTCACTTGCCATTCCCCGTGACAACAAGCTCGGCAGAGGGAATCTACAGTTACTCATCTGAGCCTGTCTGGCTTCCAGCCCGATGCATCCCTGTGGCGTGTGCCGCCCTCGCCTCCTCCGGGCCTGCAGCCACCTCTCGGGATGCTTTAGTCTCAGAGCCTTGTGTTGTGGCTGATGAATCGATGGTAAGGAGGTTCTGGTGAATGGTAAGGGCAGCGGTGAAACATGGAGGAGTGTCCCTGACCTGCATGGTGGGAACTAAGTCAAGGCCTGGGCAGCCACTGCGCCAGGCTCACCAGCAGATCCACCCACATTGCCATCTGGATGAAGACAACCTTCCCTTCCCCGAGCTTCCGGGCAGCTGTCCCCACCTCTCCAGTGCACCCCTTCTTTGGGGGCTAGACCTTTCTGAGTGCCAGAGCATTTCAACTCCATTTGTATCTTGGAGGAGGGTGGGGAGAGTTGAGCAGATGTTTGAAGGGTATTCCTTGTGTGTCTTCTGTAACAGCATGGATATCCATTCATTCATTCATTCATTCACTCATCTCTCATGTATCATGTCTGGCTCTGTGATGAGGCAAGGCTTGTCGCTGATGGAAACATGTGTTGTGTCTTCTGAGGACCCTAGCGTTGCTTGAGCAGAGGATAGGGGGTCTTGAAGAGGCCTTGCAACCCCACCTGGGAGCAAAGCTCATGGAACTTGGGGTGGGGGAAGCCTTGTAATGACTGGTGAGTGGGGCAGTGAAGCCCGGGGCCCAGTTCTGAGAGAGTCACCCTTGATCCTGAAGGCTGGGCTCTGGGGAGGGCTGGCACCATCATGTGTATCACCTCAGGTGGTCCAGGGAGCAATACTGAGAAGGATATTGGAGAAGTTTATTGAATGCAGGGTTCCTTGTGGATGGTAAAGGGGAGGAAAGCAGGGTGAGATCTTCAGGCTGTGCTACAGAGATGAAACTTGAAGACTTCCTCTCCATTCCCCCCGCCCCCACACACAGGGTCTCATGTAGCCCAGGCTGGCCTTGAACTTGCTACGTAGCTGAGGATGCCTTTGGACTTCTGATCCTTTTCATCCATGTCCTGAGTGCTGTTTGGTCTTATGGGCAGGCCTGGATTATGAGTGCTGGTCTTAAGGGCAGGCCTGGATTATGAGTGCTGGTCTTATGGGCAGGCCTGGATTATGAGTGCTGGTCTTATGGGCAGGCCTGGATTATGAGTGCTGGTCTTATGGGCAGGCCTGGATTATGAGTGCTGGTCTTATGGGCAGGCCTGGATTATGAGTGCTGGTCTTATGGGCAGGCCTGGATTATGAGTGCTGGTCTTATGGGCAGGCCTGGATTATGAGTGCTGGTCTTATGGGCAGGCCTGGATTATGAGTGCTGGTCTTATGGGCAGGCCTGGATTATGAGTGCTGGTCTTATGGGCAGGCCTGGATTATGAGTGCTGGTCTTATGGGCAGGCCTGGATTATGAGTGCTGGTCTTATGGGCAGGCCTGGATTATGAGTGCTGGTCTTAAGGGCAGGCCTGGATTATGAGTGGTAGGAACTGAACCCAGAGCATCGAGCATGCTGAGTAAGCACACTACTCACTAAGCCCTACAGGTTCTTCCTTGAGGAAGGCCCAAGTGATGTGCCTGTATGTCCACAGAGAGAAAACTGAGTCATGGAAAGTGTAGGCAGGAAGTAGGAGAGCTTCAGTTCTGCTCCAAAGGACTGAGGAAGAGGCCCTGGGCCTCTGTGAACAGAGGGGCGACTTGAGAACTCCTTTCTCCAAACTCAGGGGTTAGCAGTCCCTCCTCCA